GCTTGAGCCCAGGAGTTGGAGGTTGCTGTGAGCTGTGATGCCACAGCTCTCTACCCGGGGGAATAGCTTGAGGCTCTGTCTCAAAAAGACAAAAAAAACCCCATGGCAACAAGTGGAAGAAGGTTCCCCTATGTAGCCTGGAGCTCAAAGGCAGGCTGGTAAGGAAGGGGAACAGGGCACAGGGTGGGCTATATTGTGGAGTCGCAGGAGCCTGCCAGCTCCATCACATAAAAGCAGCTTCCACCTAAGCAGATGCACAAAGGACTTCCTTTGTTTCCCCAAATTTCTAGGCACAGGCTGACGGGCAGGAATGGTTTATTTACCTAATAGTCCCAAAACCTCAAAAGTAGACAGGGTTCAAAAATTCTACCCCAGCAAAAAGCAATGCGTGGCCACAGCAGATTTGAGGAAGTCACAGTATATGAGGGGAAGGGGGAGAAAGATAGACTACCATCACCAGAAATTTCTGAGGGCCAGAATGAGATACCTGGACTTCTTTTTCTTTTCTTTTTTTGAGACAGGGTCTCAAGCTGTCACCCTAGGTAGAATGCCTTGGCATCCGAGCTCACTCCAACTCTTGGGCTCAAGCAATCCTCTTGCCTCAGTTTTTCTATTTTTAGTAGAGACAGAGTCACTGTTTGCTCAGGCTGGTCTCAAACTTGTGAGCTCAAGCAATCCACCCACCTTAGCTTTCCAGTGTGCTAGGATTACAGGTGTGAGCCACCACACCTGGCCGAGATACCTGGACTTACTCTAAAGCTCAAAAACGCCTCAAGCAGTAATGGAAAATTTCTAACAGAGACCTGATGAGCTTGGCCAGGCTGGAGAGTAGGATGTCGGTCAAGACCAGTGCAAGGATCTTACTAGTGGCAGGAATTATAAGAGTGAAGGGCAAAGGATGAACCCCCAAATCCAAAAACAAACAAAAAAAAGTCTAGCTTAGATGGTGCCACCAACAGAGTCCCTTGAAGGAAGAGCTAGCATGAGGACAGGCAGGTGAAGGCATTCAGAAGGCAGTGGTCATGGGTGGAGACCGCACCCCCCCACCCCCTGGGAAGTGTATGTGTAGACAGCCCTATAAACACCGCCCAGGAGGCATGCTCGAAGAGGCGAGTAATAGGATGCAAGAAAAATATGAATAGCGTCCAGCAACTAAGGAAAAGAAAGGTTTCAACAGAAGTTCTGAAAATTCATTTTCAAATGTAACTGAAAATGCAACCAAGTTATACCCATAAGGGTTGGTATTGACAAGCTAATAAGAGTGCCTGTAATCCTAGCATTCTGGGAGGCCCAGGTGGCGGACTGCTTGAGCTAATACGTTTGAGACCAGCTTGAGCAGAAGCGAGACCCCATCTCTACTGAAAATAGGAAAACTAAGGCAAGAGGATTGCTTGAGCCTCAGTTGAAGGTTGCTGTGTGCTATGATGCCACAGCACTCTACCCAAGGCAGCAGCTTAAGACTCTGTCTCAAAAAAAAAAAAAAAAAAAAAGGAAGAAAGAAAAAGAAAAGAAACTAACCTCAGGAGGGAGTGAAATGATTCCCTTTTGTTCCAGTGGTTAAGAACCCCAGGAGTGCACCATGTGCCAAAGCCCTACTCCAAGTATTTCTGCACCCTATACTCCATTCATTCATTCAAGACAGGGTCTCACTCTGTTGCCCAGGCTGGAGTACAGTGGCTTCATCATAGTTCACTGTGACCTCAAACTCCTGGATTCAACCAATCCTCCTGCCTCAGGCTCCCAAGTAGCTGGGACTACAAGTGTGAACCACCACACCTGGCCCTGTAACTTCATTTAAAATGTTTTCATCCTTCCCATCCAAGTGGACTATCCTTTACTCACTGGCTGGGGCTAGGCACCAAGAAGGGAGGCTATGTCATACACCAGGGACGGGGAGTCAGGATTCATGTCTCAGAGAGTATGGCTTGGCCATGAACAGTTGGGGACATGGGCCTGCGCCAGACAACCCTGGGCTCTTACCTTCTGTCCAGGAAGACAAGGGCTGTGATGCCTGAAGAGACCTCCTCGCTGCTGCAGCACAGCACACCCTCGATGGCATCCCACACCTACAAGTCCAGAAACTATTGAGCACCTGTCCACGAGGAAGACCTATAAGCCCCTGTGTGGACTACCCCTCTGCCTACCTCCAGACGGCCACTGCTCCGTCCCACCACGATGAGGTTGCCCTGAAGCTCCAAGCTCCAGATGGAACCATCTGTGCTGGGGGCCCAGGCAAGGGAAGGACAGCCCTTCTCAGGAGAACCACCTTCGTCCTCCGGGGTTTGGGACAGCGGTGGCCCAGGTGAGGGTGGGCGCAAGGCTGGTGTGTGAGCAGTAACCAGGTCCTCCTCCTGGTACACCCGCTGCACCAGACGGCTGAAGTCATAGCCCAGGGAATCCCGAGCAGTGCGGCCGCAGCCGGCCCGGTGCCGGGGCTCAGGCTGAGTGGGCTCAGAGGGCGGCAGCTGTGTTGAGAAGTTAGTGTCTATTAAGCAGGTGAGGTCTGGCTGGTCCTCGAAGAGAGAAGGTGGTGCACGGCCCCCAGGGTGGTGTCGCAGGGGAGGGCTATCTCCAGACTCCTCTGGCCCAGCCTTCCCACCGTCTGACAGCCGTTCCCAGTTCTCCTGAGCCTCAAACACGCTACCAACACCACTGTCCCGACGCTGCCTGCTGGGGGGTCGGGTGAGAAGGGAGGGGAGATGAGGAAAGGTATAGGTCAACAGGATGGGCACGGAAGGCTAGGGGCAGGGCAGCCGCACCTACCTTGGGCGTGGGATGCGTGTGAGGCAGTCTCCAGTCTGGGCGTCCCATACGCACACATGGCCTGCGAGGCAACAGCTCACCAGCAGCATGCCATCACTGGCCAGGCACTCAATGTCCTGTGGGTGCACGTGGTGTTGGTACAGGCCAGGTCCAGCCCTCCCCTACCTGCACCACCGTCAGCCTGCCCTCACCATGAGGTGCCCACGCAGCACCAGCGGCACGATCTCTGTTTCGGGTGGAGTGTAGCCATAATCATCACAGGGTAACTCCCCACGCCTCCGCCGACCAGGCCCTCCACCTGGCTGTCCATAGTTGCGCGGGCAGAGAATGCGGTAGAGACAGAGCAGCAGCAGCACGAGGACTATGCCAGCTGCCAGGCCCAGCGCTGCCACCCTGCACCAACGTCCAGGCAGGAACACTGTGAGATGTGTCCACCACCTCATCCATCCCTCTCCCGTCCTCCCAGTCCATCCCGAACTGCTCTTACTTGTACAGTGTGATGTCCCCGTGCACCTGTGCCCCACCTGGGCCCTTGGGCCCGGCCTCCCAGCGTCCTTCCAGCACAGGCCCCAGTGGAGGCCAGACACTGCGGCGGTCATGAGGATGCCGCCCCTCCAGGGCCTCTCGTGGGTTCAATCACAGCGTGACTGGGATGACAGGCAGCAGGCTGATGTACCTGGGTCCAGGCAGTTGGAGGCCTGAGCAGGGATGCTGCCTGAACAGGCCTGGTCCCTTCCCTACTCTTCCCATGGGACTCAGTTCAATGTACTAGAGTGGAAGAACACTCTCTAGGTAGTCTTCCCAGCTTGGGTAGTCGGGACAGAGGTAGGCCCTTGGTTTTTCTGTGGAGTCACAGGTTGTTGCCAATCCTTTGGCCAAATAAGATCCACCACTCTATGCCTGGAGGGGTGAGGTAAGATAGCCTACGCAGCCAGGATGGCTGCTTGGATGCTAGTGTCTGTGACAGAGAAAGGGCCACTCACTTGGGTTCTGACTGCTTGGTGCACCAGTTCCCACCCCACAACATTATGAATTATTTTAATTATTTGAGATGAAATAAAGAATTCAAACCGGCTCGGCGCCTATAGCTCAACCGGCTAAGGTGCCAGCCACGTACACCTAAGGTGGCGGGTTCGAATCCCCAGCCCGGGCC